GGCGGGATCCTTAGGATGATTTTCACTGCCCTGGGGAGAAGGGTGGGGAGCCACACATGGAAAATGCACTTCTCAGCAGGCAGCGTGGATCTCAATCCTGAACAATCAAGAGCTGGAAAGCCCCATGTCCAGAGCCTCTTCCACCTCCGCCACTGGGCGTGGACCTCGCATTGGTTATTTGCTGTATGGATGAAGGATCCAGGAGTCCGGAGCCCCGTGTTAACATGCATATTCTTCCTGCACAAGTGTCACCTCGTGCGTCATCGCCAGTCAATTGGGGGTGGCTTTCTATAGCCCTGAAGCTCAGGATCAGGGAGAAAGAGTGTAAGGTTGATTAGCTATCTGCAGTGCTCACGGGACTGGATGGCCAGCATTGACCATCTTGCACTAAGCAGTTGTAACAGGTGTATAGAAGTGGAAATGGCTCCTGATTTATGTTAGCTTACCAGCCCACCATTTATTCTCCCTGTACCCCATCTGCATTAAGACTACAGAAAGCCCTCTCTGATGGGAGAGGATGCAGAAGTCCTTCTAGAGAGGAGAGAGACTCCGGGAAGGGACAAGGGCTCCAGACATCAGAGACAAAGCTGTGCACTCCCTCCTGTGCCCAGTGAGTTTGGAGTGGGTCCCGGGGCCAAAATTCCACGTTCTGGTCTCTTAAAGAAATGGAGGATCATGAAAAAGATTAGTTTAATCAAAGAAAAGAAAGAAACTACATTTTCTTTTCATGTCTGAGTAACAATGTGTTAAATTTGTGATCCTTCTACACGATAACCAGCTGCTAACCAGTGGGGCTAAATTCCTCATATAAAAGCACAGAAGGGAAATTTTGGATGAGGGAATAGGGGAAAGAGGAACTACCGATGACTGAGCACCTGTTATGTGCCGGGTATGCAGTAGGCACTTCACAGAAATGTACTTATCCAATCCTCACAGTCATTTTTTCAGGTGGATATCACCCCCTTTTCAGAGATGAGACACTGAGGCTCAGAAAGGTTAAATAGTTTGTCCATGGTCACAAGCTAGTCAGAAGTGGGACTGGGATTTGAACTGGGATCTGGCCAGCTCTGAGATGTATGATGTTTTTCCTCGGCTATAGGCAGGGTGGGGCCAGGAGTCATCAGCTGGCCCCCATTTTCTTGGGAGAGATTGGAGAGAATACCTTGGCATGAATTGCATTGTTTTTACAGAAATCTTTGCAGAGATGTAAATGATCAAAATACATAACCGAAATAAGAAACTTCAGACCAAAAGAAAATTTAGAAAAATTAATGCCATCTAAAACCAGCAAGCATTTTTTAGTAAGGCAGTTGGGTTAGTAGCGTGACAAATGTTATCCTATGTTCTTTATTCTCTGTTCAGCATATAAACTAGCTTCATGGAGGTGCTACTGCCATTTAAACCAGCGGTCGCCAACCTTTCGGACCTCATGGACCACCAGTGGTCCGTGGGTCACCGGTTGGCGACCGCTGATTTAACCATTTCTTTTAGTTGAAAAATCTTGTTTTGATCAATTTTTTTAATGGAGGTGGAAAAATAGAAGAGATTATTTTGGAGTTGGAGAAGCATCTAATCGTTATCTACTCCAATTCTATTTGACAGATGAGGTAAAGACCCAGAGGGAGCCAGTTTTACAACGATCGCCATTTAAACTCCAGGAGAGTGGGCACCTGGTCAGCCTGTTCCCTTCTCTATCCTGGAAATTAGCACAATGCCAGGTAAGGTTACATGTCCCTCTAGAAGTTACGCTAGTGCTCACCACCACATGCATCATGTCCACCGCCTCAGGCACAGTACACTCCTCCATGAGCACCGAGGGTGTGGGGACCCAGGTAATTTGCCCTTGAGGGTCGGGCTGCCAAGGTGTGTCAGTGAAGTCTTTTAGGAGAAGCATTCATCATACCCAGTGCTCGCACATCATCGGTGGTAAGTCTGCAGCTACCCAGCCTCAGGCTTTTTAACTTGCTGACAAGATGCATTTGCTCAGTGACTGAATGGAGGGTTCCACCCACAAAATCATTCCAGGAAATGTCCAGTGTTTCTAGGTCCGGGAGAAAAGGCAGCAAAGCAACTAGACGTGAACAAAAGAACATGCAGATTTGCATAAGTAACCTGTGAGGTGCAGTAAGTAGGATTCATTGCCTGTACGCACAGAACATAGTTTGGTAAGAGAATAAGGGGACGAGGGCATGTGGCTCTCTCAGGGATCTCTCAGCCATGCAATTGGAGAGATTGTGACGTTTACCTTTTCTATTTCTTGGGATGTTTTCTATTTTTGCCAAATACTTTCACTCTGAAAATGCAGTGGTACCCAGCTGGCGTGGCTTAGTGGTTGAGCATCCATCTATGAACCAGGAGATCATAGTTCGATTCCCGATTAGGGCACATGCCCGGATTGCGGGCTCGATCCCCAGTAGGGGCATGCATGAGGCAGCCGATCAATGATTCTCTCTCATCATCGATGTTTCAATCTCTCTCTCTCCCTTCCTCCCTGAAATCAATAAAAATATTTTTTAAAAGAAAGTACAGTGGTGTCTCTATAAGATTTCATAGGATCTTTTTTACTGCAGAGGAGAAGGTAATTCTACTGTTGCCACCACTGTCACCGTAAAGTGTGCACTGGGCCTTGTAGTTTGCAAAACTCTCTGACATCCATCAGCCAGTCCTCCGATTGGTTCCTCAGGCTGGTGGCTGGGGACTGCTCTCTGGGCCAGGATTGCTGAGGTTACAGGTGCTTCTCACCTTTTCTTTTTTATCTTGATTACCTGGGCATCACCGCCTTAAAAAGCTGCCGTAATACTTAAACGGACTAACATATGGAGACGTAGACTGGCACACAGCCTGATGGGACCTCCTCGGGTCTCTGCTACTGCTCATTAGAAGTGAAGTTGCCCTCTGGGAAAAGGACCCTCCAGGGCCATCGTATCCCCTGAAGCAACAAGACTTTTGAGTGGAAATGCCAACCCAGAGGCGGTAAAGCATCTTTGCTTTTAAACGCCTGTCTTGAATGTGAAAGTGGTGGCAGCAGTCGGAAGCAGCAGGCTGAGCTTCTGCGTTACAGGCACAGCAACCCCAGCCTTCCGAAATGCTGAGGCCACGCTTAGAGGGAAAATTGTTTTCTTTTCACCAGCATTTAAAGCAGCGGTTCTCAACC